TATTTGATTCCATTTTACTTTAATTTCAATACAAATTAATTTGAATTAAAAAATATTGGGTTCAATTATAACATGTATATAAAATTAATTGAGATGTAATTGGATGGGATAAATAAGTTGGGACACGAAATTAGTTGGGACATGAAATTGGTTGGGAAGTGAAATAGATTGGGACACGAATTTGATTAGGATACAAAATTGGTTGAGACATGAAATTGGTTAGGATACGAAATAGATTGGGACACGAAATAAGTTGGGATACGAAATAGGTTAGGATATGAAATTGGTTGGGACACGAAATTGGTTGAGATATGAATTCGATAGGGATACGAATTTAGTTGAGAAGCAAATTTGGTTGGGATATGAAATTGATTAAGAAGCGAATTTGGTTGGGATACGAATTTGGTTGGGAAGCGAATTTGATCGGGATACGAATTTGGTTGAGAAGCGAATTTGGTTGGGATACGAATTTGGTCGGGATACGAATTCTGTTTGGTTGGGAAGCGAATTTGGTCAGGATACAAATTTGGTTTGGAAGCGAATTTGATACGAAATTGGTTGCAAAATGAATTTGGTTAGAAAACGAATTTGGTTGGGAAACGAAATTGGTTGAGATACGAATTTGGTTGAGATACGAATTTGGTTGAGATACGAATTTGATTGGGATACGAATTTGATCAGAACACGAATTTGTTTGCATTTTATACGAATTTGATTGGATATGAAATTGATCGTAACACGAATTTGATTGAGATATAAATGAATTTGAATAGGATATAACTGAATTTGAATGGGATATAAACGAAATTGGTTGAAAAATCCTGTATTGTCTCTGGAATCTTGATTCTATCTAGTGCAAGTTTAAGCATCTTAAGCCCTACAAAGTCGTATGCTTTTCGCATATCTTGAAACATTAGCTATATATTTTTTTTTTCTCCTTTGCTTCTTCTAAGAGGCAGTTTATTAGATATACAGGTGCTGCAGTGTCCTCTCCTAGTAGACCAGCAAAATTCTTGCCTTTTAAAATCTTTTTTTCTCCTATTACTTTGGCTAACTTGTTCATTACAATTCTTACTACTGTTTTCCGAAAGGACTCCAATAACAAAATTGGTCACACATTGTTCAAATTATAGCACTATTTTTCTGTTTTCGGTATTGGATATAAGATTCCAAGCTTCCATTTCTTCGGCATCGTACCATTTTTAATACACTTTGTGGCAAACTTGCAAAATACAGAGTTTGCATGTTCTCCTACTCTTTTGATTAGGGGGTAGGTGATACTGGATGTACCTAGGGCTGACTTGGCTTTTGCTTGTGCTAAAGCTATGTCCTATTCTACTTTGCTAACCTCGCTTGTGGTATCTGCAAACCAGGTCTCATCTATATTCTCCTTTGGGGTGTATTGCTTTTTCCACTTCAGGGGTAGCTCATTTGGGTTTAATATATTTCTCTTTCCGAATTGCTTTACAAAGTAATCCCTGACCTCTTCTAAGATCTCAGTCGGCTCATAAATTAGTTCAGGTTTCCCTTTGATGTCCTTAACTACCCTGTTTATTTTTATTTTCCTGCTTGGACAGTCTAAAAGACTATCTAGCATTCTCCTCTGATTAGACACGATTAGGCTATGTCTTTCCTCTATGCAGCTTCTTATTGCTATTTCCTCTGCTTTTTTAATTTTTTGCCTCCACTCTTTGTGTATAACTTTGGCCCAGCTTCTAAGATTTTCTATATTTACAATGTCTGGCTTGTCCGATGGGCCTATATCTATAATTGATCTAATTTGTTCCAGAACTATCTTCCTTTCCTCTGTGCTTAATGTGCCTTTTTTACTCTTGTGATAATCTTTAGTATATGCCTTAATCGCTAGTCTCAGTGCACGTATTTCTTTGTCCTCCTTGCTAATCCGCTAGATCTCAGGAGTTTTTTTCTTTTTTGGAAAACTTTTGTTTGCTGCTATTCTTATGCAGCTTTCTATAATATCCTACTCCTTGTCAAGGTTTTTGGGTTTATGTTTGTATCATAAGTCTTTTAATTTTTTGTCGAGCACTTTTTGGAAATCCTTTTACTCTTCTTTGGAGGCCTCACTTATGTCAATATTTACCCTTTTTCTGTATAAGCGTTTCCGGTTTGAAGGTTTTGCATTTCTCATCTCTAGGCCAGTAAAAATGCTTGCTCGTATAAGCTTGTAATCACTCCCAGTACAAATTGACATATCATCTACTTTGGTGCTGACTATATTGTATCTCCACTGGTTCAAGACTCATATATAATTAACTCGAGTTTCTGTACTTCTGTTGGCATCTGTAAAGATTCTTGTACGTTGAAGAGCTGCCTTTCCTCTAGTACTTGTATTATTCTCCTCTTGAGATTTGTTTTATGTTTTGTACTTGTGCTTATGGAGTCATTATTTGCAAGTACCTCTGTATTCGTATTCAGATCGCCTAGTACTATGTAATGTTGTAGCTTCCTTTTATGTTGGCATATACTACATTTAAGCCTTTGTAATATTTCTTCTTGCATTGCCTTGTCATTTGGAGCTACGTATATATATATGATATTAATTGTAATACCTCTAAAATCTAATACCAGGCTTAAAAAGTATGGGTTGTCTCTAATTTAAGATGTAATGTTGCGCTTTCATCTTTTCTTGATTAGGACCCTAAGTCCGGACCCTTTCTTCTTATTTTCGTCAGAGTCTGTCTATATACTAATATATGAATTATTGTTCTTTGTTGCAAAAAAGCCCTCTTTATTGCTAATATTTGTTTCTCCTAACCCCAGTATGTCTATCTTTTTCTCTTCCATGTAATCTATAATTGTATTCAGTTTGTTTTTATTGTTCTTTATTCCATTAATATTGTGAAACCCAATATTCATTATACAAAAGTGCCCATATCTATCCTCTTTGCTTGCTGTTCCCTGCTCGACTTCTTCACCTGGGGACTCACCCTCACCTTCTCTCTTACTCTTTCTGTTTTCCATAGAGGGATTTATTGTTGTGTCTGGGGCACTCTTAGGAGCGATCCGCAAGAGCTACTCTTGCGTGTACTATTTTAGGTGAACTACTCTAGTCTTCTAGTTTTTCTAGTCTGCTCAAGATTTGTATCAGCTTCCTGTCTGCACCCTCCTTATCATTTCTGAAGTCATATTTTGTGCTTTTTTTGTTTCTGTTTTCCTTGCCTACTGGACGCCTAGGTGGAACCGAGTTGCCACTTGTTTTGTTTTCATTGGACTTGGTAGGGATGTATGGGTTTTCTTTCCTTTTCACTATTTTACTCTCTTCCTGATTGGTTGAACAAGTTGTTGCACCTCCTCTATTGTTTACCATATGATTTTTAAAATCTTCTTTTATATTATCTGGTAAAACCCAATCAAGCTTCGCATTGTAGTAATACATTCTTTTTGTAAGAGCTACTAGAAGTTTCTTCTCAGACTTGAAGAACACTAAGGCTGTGCCTCTTTGGTTCTTGTTGCGGTTATGTGAGATGTATACTACTTGTGCTTTTACTAGTTTTAGCTGTTTTAGCAGCATTGTCTCTAGGGCTGTTTTGGAAATATTTTTCAATATCGCTTTGTATTTTCCTCTTTCGTCCAAAATGCTTCTGTCAAATGCCCCTTCAGAGAGTCTTAGCATTTTCTCCTCTTTGAAGTGTATGGCCCAAGCTTTGATAAATAAAGCTTTTCTTCTTTCATTCCAAAAGATTATATTGAATGAGACAGCTTTCTTTGATCCTAGCGATTCCCAGTGCCTGAATTGAACTCGACCGTAAAAATGCAGACATCTTCGTATTCTTACTGTCTTGACTTCTATTGGTATGTTCCATAGCGTATACCATACTTTTGAATCTTCTGTGACTTTTTGTCTACTTCTTAGAGTTTCTCTAGTATTTGCTTTTTCGTGTTCTTTCTGGGCTTCTATGTTTATCTCTTCGCTGGATGTAAGTTTTGTGTCTTGTGCTATTAGAGCACCTGTACTTTTAGTTAAGTCGTCGGTTTTTTTTCTCCTTCTTACAGGCCTTCTTGGTATCTCTTTTTCCCTCTACTGGGCTTGTGCTTCTCTTCCTTGTCAAAGTCTCAGATCCAGGCTAATGCAGCTTTAATTTTTTTTTGATGCCATAGTCTGCTATGCCACATTCTTGTTCGATTAGTATCTCCTTGCTTTTCTTAGCTTTGTTGGAGTTTATTAAGTCTAACAAGTAGGAATTCTTGCCTTTTTTAATTCTCAAATAATCTAACCAGTCATAGGTTTCGATTAAGCATCTAAAAAAACATATAAGTTGGGGCTCAGCTCCTGTAAATGCTGCTATTTCACTATCTTTTTTAATGTATTCCTCTTTATGCTCCTCTTTAAGCAAGTTGAAGTCTTCAGCTGATTTTTTAAAAATGTCTTTATACTTGTTTATTTTGTGTTCCCAATCTATATCTGAGTCCCCTAGCTGTTCGGTACTCATTGTGCATTCTTGATTTGAGCTACAGGACATTGCTTATAGTATTTAATAGTAAATTATAGAATTTATCTCTAATATGTAACATACGTGACTTTATGTGTTTCTCATGTGTAATTTTTGTGCAGTTGCTTTTGCGCTACTGTGTAGCTCCATGTTAAGTGCTTGTGTTATTTTAGAGATCTGCATTACAGAGATAACGCTATTTTCCATTTATATGAAAATGCGAAGTAATTTGACAAGAAACCTAAGTATTCGGCTAGTTTGCTCTATTATTTAAAGAGCTAATATGTTCTGGAGCTTAGTTTGTTTTCCTTTCTTACTACTGGAGAGTTTTGTTGCTTACGTAGAGCTAGTCTCCTGTTTGCATGAGTTTTAATACCGTATATTTTTTTAAACAAAGGCTGCTATCTCTTCTACTTGTTTAGTATGCTAACGCCAAGGTAATTTAGCGTGAAATAATGTTTATAGCCTTTATTTTATGTCCTATTAGGTCTATTGTTGTGTTTGTAGCCAAGTTTTAATGCAGTGTATGTTTTTAGTCTTCTACTATTTTTGTGCCAAGTGATCATTGGGAAGAGTTGACTAATCAAATTTGATTATATTTATATATTAAGTAGAATTTTTTACAATAAAAATTATACATATTCTAAAATTTTATTAATTTTGAATAAAATTTGATAAAGTTTATATAGTAACAACTTTTGTAGGAAGCAGGGTCTATTCTGCAAAGTGATTACAAATTGGTCAATCAAATCATGTGATAATCATAAGTAAAATAGTATCACGAAGATAAAAACAACTATATCTTATGATTGACTAGACCAATTTTAATAATTTGACCACTGTTAGAATCAGAAAACTCTTCTCTATAATTTTATTAAAAAATTTAAAATAGTTGCTTAATAAAAAATTTCTTTATTATTAATAGGCAATCCGCCAGTCACCTGGATAAAAAATTTTTTTTTTATATATAAATTTTATTATAAGTGCGAATGCACAGCACTTCTATCTAAAACTTTTTTTTATACTAAGTAAATCACTCTTCGGCTTCTAACAAAAGTTGTAAAGCTCATAAAAATGTATTTAATACTAAAAGGATATTAAAATTGGTCTGGTGGTTC